TGTGTGTGTGTGTGTGTGGTGTGTGTGTGTGTGTGTGTGTGTGTGTGTGTGTGTGTGTGTGTGTGTGTGTGTGTGTGGAAGAAGGGTGCCAATGTGAGCTGGGGAGACTCCTGGAGAGATATCAAACATCAAGGCAAGCGTGCGTGAGGTGAGAAAGCGCATGTGCGTGCACATGATCACCTTGACCACGACGGGGTCGATCCCAGCACTTGTTCGCACCAAGTTGCAGTCCTCCAGCCAGCCACATCCTTTGCCAAAGGCTTCTACAACAGCCGAACAAGCATTCATAAAGGCATTGTGTGTGTGTGTGTGTGTGTGTGTGTGTGTGTGTGTGTGTGTGTCACGTGAACAGACATACGCTTGTGCGGGGTGATGTGGTGTTGCGCATCTGCATGATCAAACACAAGGAATGCGCTCAGAAGCAGGCACCACAGATCACGCCAAAAGCCGTTGCAGGAGGCGTTGACGGGGTGCGTGGTAGACTGTATGGCATCATGTTATTACAGCGCTCATATCACCGACGACACTGACGTGATCTTTCGCGGAACACAGACTGCACCCCTTCCTTGAAGACGCTTTCCGTCGCCACCCCTGCAAAGGCAACCAAACGCAACAACAAGACCAAATCATCATAAGAAGAAGCGGCAAATGGTTGGCAATTGTCGTTGTTGTCGGCGTCGTAGTCGTCACACATGCGTTGTTGTTTTGTCAAGTGAGGGCAACGTAATGTAACAACTTCACCAAGCACACAGAGGCAACTCACCAGTGGCGCCTTCGAGCAGCCCACGCATCCAGCCGTTTCCTGTCCGTGGCACAGTGGCCAGCACAAGCCGGTGGATCCCGTACACTGTGCGCGGCGCATTCCTTCGCAAAGACGAGGAAAGTTAAGTTGACAAAACGCAGGTGATGGTGAGGACATGAGAGCCGAAGGACATGCAGACACTGGAGCAGCAACTGCACTCGAGCATCGAGTTGAGCACTGGCCCCGTCCCCCGCTCAAGGAAGCAAAGCAGGAAGGCTGGGTGCACGCGGTTAAACAGCAGCACACAATTGCATGGGTGCGGTGCATGCGTGTATCCAACCTGGAAACTCTTGCTGGGTTTCCTTCCGAGGTGATGGTCTTCCACTGCGAGAACAGAAGCGGGGAAAACAGGGGAGGACGTTGATGTGCATGTGCAGGCGTTGTTGGCAACACTGCGCGAAAGCAAGCAATGGATACTGCAGCATGCACACAGGTGGGCCAGATGCAGAACACGCATGTGTGCCACAAGCCAGAGCACCGAGCTTAGAAGCTTGGTAATTGTGGGTTTTGGCTTCGTGGTGAATGCTATGGTGCATTGCCGAACGTACTTTTGGGAGTTGTTCCGCAGCGGAGCGCACGGAAATTGCAAACATGCTCTCATCCTGTGCGACAGCGAGAAGGCAGGAGAGAAGGAGGAGGGTAAGCAAACCAAGGCAAGGCAAGGCAAGGCAACGTAACGCACGTTAACATGGGCGATCAAAGAGGAAAGAGGTCTAGAGGTGAAGGCGACTCCTGCAAGCAACAGTTCAAACACACACACACACACACACACACACACACACACACATGCACGCACGCACGCACGCACGCACGCACGCACACCACACAGGAACAGTGCATGCATGCATTCATGCATGCACATCAGCCAGCCAGCTCACCAGCCAACCAGCCAACCAACCTGGATGTGAGGCCCTTGTTGTTGTGTTACTCTCCATGCAAAGAACAGGGCCACCAGGGTGACTGCTGCCAGGACTTGCAATGCCAGCATTTGCTTCCTCCTCCCACCGCCACCATGGCCACCGGCAGTGCCACTGCCTCCATCATTCATCATCTGTTGGCGCTGCACCACCATTGTCCTCACCAAACAAGCAAGGCGTTCACAAGCCACTCGAAGACAAGGCAAGCAAGAAGGAAACGGTTTCGCGTTGTGTGCGTGCAGGCAAAACCGCCTTTCGTTGTTTGTTGAAATACTGAATTCAGTCGTGCATATTGAACGCAACTCACCCCACCTCCTTCTCAACCTTTTGCTGACTTTTGCTGTGTTGATCGTGAGTGTGCTTCCCACCTCCTCCTCCTCCATTCAGCTGCTTTGCTTTGCCCCTCGCTGTCACACACTCGCGCGTCGTCATCATCGTTGTTGTTGCTGCTGTTGTTGCTGTTGCTCTGCTGTTGTGCGCTTGCTTGTTTGCTCGCTTATTGTGACCACCACCCAGTCCACTGCTCGGTTCCCTCCGTCGTGCTTCGCCTTGTTTTGTCCTTGTTGGCGAGAGTGCCTTGTTTATTTTGGTTGTTGTTTGTTGTTGTCTTTGTTTTCTTGTCATCACATCACATCAAGACAACCAGGCATGAGCTTCTTGTTGTAAGTAACGTGACTGTGTGTGCGTGTATGTGCGTTGTGTGCGTGCGTGTTGTGAGTGTGTGTGTGTGTTGTGAGAGCATCCTGTATGTGTGTGTGTGTGTGTGTGTGCGTGCGTGTTGTGAGTGTGTGCGTGCGTGTTGTGAGTGTGTGTGTGTGTGTGCGTGCGTGTGTTGTGTGTGGGAGCATCCTGTGTGTGTGTGTGTGGTGTGCGCGCGCGCGTGTGTGGATGCCTGTGCAGGGCATGCCATCGTCAAAGGCCATATCAGCTGCTGACATGAGACGTGACCTTGCTTGATTCGACAACAGTAACAAGGCACAAAAGACCTTCAAACCAAAGAAGAACATCCCAGAGGGTTCACACCAACAAGTGCTCAAGCAGTATGTTGACGAGACCCTCGGCTCCGGCAACCTCAGCCAAGCCGTGAAGCTCCCACCTGGCGAGGACATCAACGAGTGGCTCGCCGTCAACAGTGAGTCCTTGTACCTGTATGTGCATTGTGTGTATTGTGTGTGTGTGTGTGTGTGTGTGTGTGCGTGTGTGTGCGTGCATGCGTGTTTATGTGTGCTACCATGTGCAGACGTCGATGACAACGATGTCACTGTGCACACATGCACGTGCCTTGCCCCATGCTTCTTCTTCAAGTCACTCCTTCTTCTTCTTCTTCTTCGTCTCATCTGCCGGCTTGCTTTCTATTTCCCTTGCCTCTGTTATTATTGCACGCACGCACAGCTGTTGATTTCTTCAACCAGATCAACATGCTGTATGGGACCATTTCCGAGTTTTGCACCGCAGAGAGCTGCCCCGTCATGTCGGCAGGACCAAAGTCAGTGCGTGTGTGTGTGTGTGTGTGTGTGTGTGTGTGTGTGTGCATGTCTGTTTGTGCGTTTGTACACAAGCTTGCCTGTGCACCTGGTACACGTGCTTGTACCTCCTTCCCATTCTCCGCTCTGCGTGCCGATGTGACGCATGTTCGAGTTCACACGGGCTGTGAACACTGCTGTCTTCTCATGTACAGATACGAGTACCTGTGGGCAGACAGAACGACAGTCAAGAAGCCAATCCAATGCTCTGCCCCAGGTCTGTGTGCCTGCTTACTTACTTGCTTGCTCATGTGTGTGTGTGCGCGCGCTTTTGTGTTAGCTTCTCGTGTGCTTGCTTGCTTGCGTGTGTTTGTGTAAGATGTGAATGATAGGAGTTGAACGCCTTCACCTGCTCATGTTCTCACACCACAATCCACACAATGCAGAATACATTGACTACCTGATGACGTGGGTGCAGTCGCAGTTGGACGACGAATCCTTGTTCCCCTCAAAGGTTCGTGCGCCCTCTTGTGTGTCTTTATGTGTCTCTATGTGTCTGTGCGTCTGTGTGTGCGTGTGTGTCTGTGTGTCTGTGTGTCTGTGTGTGTGTGTGCGTGTCTGTGTCTGTGTGTATGTGTGTGTATGTGTGTGTTTGTGTGGCTATGTGATTGGATTTGTGAACAATATGTTCCATCACACCATGCACCGACACGAGAGCAACATCGCCCCACGCCACCCCCCCCCTCATCACTGCCACCCTGTCTCTATTTTCCGTCACCTTGATGCAGGTTGGCGTGCCTTTCCCGCCAAAGTTCCTCAACACCGCAAAAGTCATCTTGAAGCGGTTGTATCGCGTGTACGCCCACATGTACCATTCCCACTTCAAGGAGGTACGCGTGTCTCTGTGTCTGTGTCTGTTTGTGCGTGCCCGTGTCTGTGTCTGTGCCTGTGTCTGTACCTGTGTCTGTGTGTGTGTGTGTCTGTCTGTGCCTGTGTGTCTGTCTTCTGCCTGCCTATCTATCTGTCTGTCTGTCTGTGCGTGCACTGCTGCGTACTCATTGCGACCTCACAAGCGTCGTGTTCTTCATGCTTTCCTCCATGCCTTCCTCACTTGTCCCCCCCCCCACACGACTGCATCCCTCATTCGTGTCAGGTCGTTGCGCTCGGCGAGGAGCCGCACCTCAACACAAGCTTCAAGCACTTTGTCTACTTCATTCAGGTGCCCTTTTGCGCGTGCGTACGTGTGTGTGTGTGCGTGCGTGCGTGTGTGTGTGTGTGTGTGTGTGTGTGTGTGTGTGTGTGTGTGTGTGTATGTGGATGTGTGTGTGTCTGTTTTTTTTTTTTTATGTATTCAATTATATTCGGACAGCTGTCTGTACCCTCCAACGACCCCGTTAACCTATGGGATTTTGAGGGATC